AGAGCAGTATAACGTCTTGAATTCCATCTGGGAACATGCTCTTGCACTAAAGTCGGATGATCACCACTCTTCTTTCGGATATCATCCGAAATTAGCACAATTTTATATCTTCCCAGATGAAATATCTTTATTATTATAATTATAAGCCAATTGATCCACTCGATTATACAATTCTGGTAAAGCATACATATTCCTTGCTTTATGCATTTTGATAGATTTACAAAATCAGGATAACTGCCGATCGATCACTGCAGAATGACTTTCGCTCATAGTGTTCAGCTCACAAAGATGAAACGAGACATTTTTGTTTGAGTGCGCGAACACCTTCGCTTGGAAGTATATATGATTCACCATCGAGTAGTCTTCGTTTCGCGAATTTATTTAAATTTGCGTTACTTTCAACAAGATCCATATATTTCCAAATGGCCAAATGACGACTTTTACCATGCAAACAGAACAAATACATATGCTCATAGTCAGCCTGGGATGCGTTCGCCTTACTCCATTCCAACTCAGTTCGGCTCATATCTTGGCACAAATAACCAACCTGAAATTGTATTCTGAAAAAATAAAGAGTTCCAATAGTGGATAAATTCGTAATGATACATGTTTTGATGAAGCAGTGTTTCACTGCAATATCTGTGAAGTTTGACAAGTGTTTCACTGCCAGAATCAAGTGTTTTGCTCAAAGAGTTAACTGAGATACTCCTGAACTCAGCGGTGCAATTCTGAAAATATTATTTAGTCATACAGTGTAGGCATCATCGACCTACTATGGCTATGTTGGATCCTTGTGCAAATCTGACATGTTTTCTGTCGACTTCACCGGATTCAAGTTAAGCCGATTTGGTATATCGCGAAAACTCGAAGTCAAATTAGTTGCAGTTGAATGAGCACTAACGACAAATAGATCAAAATGATGCACAATTAATTTTCGTGAGCAAAACTCGAATTTAATGAGATTTGTTAGGTTTTGATTGAGTGAATGAAACTGACCACAAAACACCAATCTCCATGAAGAATCACCGCTTCATTGTTTTTAATCGCAGTCGTACGGTATCAATACAGCACTATCAGCTCTCAACAACCCACATAACCCCTCCGCTTTCGACAAATCCCGAACTACATCTCGTAGTGCTGGCCATATCGTGACAGCCAATTCGTAAAGCCATTCCACTGAAATGTCAGACTCTGAACTATTATGTGGCGTAAAGTCAGGAGTTGCCCTAGAGCATTGAACGGAATCCTCGAAAATGAACCAGTCATTTGCTTGTAATTGCGAAACGTGGATGGAATGGATGAAAAATGAAATGGAAATCAATTTCTTGAATTCGATTGATAGAGAATGTTCGATATTATCGATGATGTGTTATGTAGAACCGTCTAAGAAATAGATGGTAAACTAAGATTGTCGCCATTTCGTTATGTAAACAGCTACGATCATTT